CATTTTAAATCATGTATTTTTTTTTTTAAACTTAACTTCATTATCCTCAATATTATCAATATAATTAATTCATATCACCCAATCGTTTTTACACATTAAATCAACTTTAATTTATTATTCATCTGCTCACATAATTTAAATAATCATCACTTTACATCATCTCTCTCCTACTACTTTTACATCAGATCAAATTTAATTATTTTATTTTAAATATTATTTTAATATAAACTCAAAATCTCACTAACTAACTATACTACTTATTTCAAAATTAACCATACCAAACCAAAAAATCAAAAATAAAATAAAAACATCTCATATCCAAACATCCCCTAATTGTTTGGTAAGTGAAGACCAACATAATAATAATTTTAGTTGCAAATATTTCTCGTTTTGTAGAAGTCAGTGTTGCGGTTGGTGTGTCATTTTAATTATCAACTTATGATGTGGGATTTTACATATATCCCAACTAATTTGTTGTTATGTATATATACATAGTTTAGTAGAAGTCAGTGTCGCGGTTGGTGTGTCATTTTAATTATCAACTTATGATGTGGGATTTTACATTTATCCCAACTAATTTGTTGTAATATAGAGTATAATTTTTTTCATCCAATCTTATTGTAAAAGTCCAATTTCCATCTTCATACTTCTCAATACCAACCTACAAATTCAGTTATCTACTTAATCTTCGGTAACAAATTTATGTAGTAATGTAGCGATTGATATGACAATTTTTTAGAGAAACTTGTGCACAATAAGGATATCTGGATGAAGAATAAATTGTTCTTAAGATTATGAACGAATGTGAAATGAAGATAGAATATTAAAATTGATGTAATATAAAAATAATAAAATATTAACTAGTAGTGAGAATAATTTAAATTTACAAGTGAATAATTATGAGTGCTTAGAATTTTTTTTAAATGGAAAAATTTTATATCCAGCCACGTAAGTTACCTATAAATCCACAGCCAACACGAATGCCAATTTTCAACAATTAGCTAACACGAGTGTCATTATCAGCGGATAGCGAATAGCGGATTATATTAGCTGATTTGACCAGCGGATTGCATTAGCGGTTTTTAAATAAGTATTTGGAAAATAGCTGAAAGCTTATAGCTGTTTGACATTGCAAAATGACCAATAAGAACATTTTATTATTTAGGATGTATTCTTTTAATAATAATATATTAAAACATTTAATATTCTTTAGTTGGTAATTTATAAATATATATATTTTTTTTAAATTTACTAACACTTGATGAAGAAGTTATGAATTTTATATTTTTCTAGATAAATTAATCATATGAATGACATATTATTATTTATTAGCTCTATAAACCAATGTAGATTGTAAAATAAATAAGACAAATTAAAAAGTTCTAAGTAAAACCTCTCAATTGTGAATCCTCTATCCCAAAAAGCTGCTCTAATGAGCTTTTTCTAAATTAGAATTTTGGACCCAAAAAGCTTATCAAATAAGCTATTTACCAAACAAGTTCAATAGCGAATTTGACGGGTCAAACCTCTCAATTAAGTCCAATCTACTAATTTATCTTCAATCCGCTATCTACCAAACGGACCAATATATTACGTAGAATGGGACCAAGCGTCACGATTGAGTATTTACAATTGCACAAAGGATAGCTTTGAAATTATTTTTTAAAGTGGACCTAAGCACTAAGCATGATTGGATATAAAATGTTTTTGTTTTGATTGGATTTTTAGTTTGGGTTGGTAAAATTTGAAAAAGTTGGTATGGTTAGTCGTTAATGGATATATTTAAATAATATTTAAAATAAAATAATTAAAATTAAATTAATGTAAAAGTAGGAGAGAGAAGATGTGATGTGATGGTTACTTAAAATTATGTGAGTTGATGAATAGTGAATTAAGGTTGATATTGTGTGTAAGAATGATTGATTGATATTATTTAATTATATTGATAATATTGATGATAGTGGAATTGAGTTAAAGTTGAATTAAAAAAAATGGTTGAGTTAAAAATGATTAAATTTTTTTGGGTTGAATTTATATCCAATCATGCTCTAAGTTTCACTAAATGTACCATTATGCGCTGTTGTGCAAATGCCTACAATATTATTTAGTGGATCATCGTATCATTTTTCCCAAAAAAATAAAAAACAATCAAAATTAGATACTAACCAAAACATTTCTTTAAATTTTTTCACACTATAATTCTTGGTCAAAATTATTATGATCAAACATATCTTTTAAGTCAATTTTCTAGTTCAACCATAACCTAGCTAGAAATCACATAGTAAGCAAGTACAATACTAACTTTACCGGCAATTCACTTAATATATGACTTAAAACTTAAAAGGCATAAACAAAATATTACTAAAAAAATTGAAAAAAAAAAAAAAGAGGAATATTAAGGATTATTCAGAATACTATGAAATGAACAGTAATTAAGAGAGTGAGGTACCTCAATGTATCCAAGCCTTTCAGGGTCTAACTCTTCCATAATCAGAGCAGCATACTCTTCCGCTTGCTCTTTAAGTCTTGACAACTTGTTCGCAGAGGCACTCACCATAATAATCTACTTAATATTTTTAAAATATAAAGGGAAAAGAAATGGGTAAATGAATGTTAATACTTAATAGTTACAAGTCAAAGTAGTAAGAATTTACAAAGTTGCAGCTCCACCAAACATTATTTCACTTTTTTCTAATAATTCCATTAATACAATTAAAAAATAAAAGTTATTATTGTTATATATAATTTCAGTAAAAAAATATTATTTCACTCAATCATCTATTTATAATTATCAATCTTTATCAGTTAATTTTCATATTATAATCAATTTTAAGATTGATAGACCTTATTCATATACATTCACAATTTTCAAACATATTTCATTCTTCTAAAAGNACCAATTTGTTTTGTAAGTAATTATTTAATGGTATATATAATTATGTATTATATTATGTATGCGTGCACCTTATATGATTAATGAAATTGAGTACTTAATGATATAATAAGAAATCCTTTGAGACATTTATGAAGGAACGTCATTTTCCTATTGATCTTAATATAAAAATCATTATATGCTTCAATTATGTTGCAATGTCATTTTCCTACGCATGCATTTAAACTAACAAAAGTACAACATGGTGAAACATGGACGAATATTGTAGAAAATTATAAGTAATATTCAAAATTATATTAATTGTAATTGTTGGTTCTAGAAACTTTTAATTGTCATGCCCATGTCCCATAGACAGGCCTACATATAAACCCCAGCGAGGGAAAAGAAGAAAAAAGAAAGAATGAAAAAGGGCCTCTGCTGTATCCCACTAAATCTTAGAATTGCATGAACACTAAATAATGTCAACTAAAATTTACTTGTTCGAAAATAATACTAAATTCCATCTGTATAATATACCTAATGGATTGTTCTTTATTATCTAAGTAGTATCTTTTTTTATTTTCTGTCAATTTAAAATATTTGATTAAAAATGAAAGCAAAAAATTAAAAGAAACAGAGCAAAAACAAATGAAACATTTTGTTCTTTTCTTTTAAATATTACCTCTTTGACTTCCTCCTCAGTGATTCGGCCATCTTCATTCTTGTCCACCCTGCACCATTAATTAATTAGTGATTGGTTAATTAACCAAATTAATTGAAAGTAAGACGACCCCATCCAGTTATGTAATACTCAATCATCACCGAAATGGCCAAGAAAATTATTCTTGCCATGTCTAATTCTTATATAGTCAGTCATATTTTTTGAAAATTAAAGGTATAATATTCATATTTTGCAAAATATTATATTTTAAAATAAAATTATTTAATAATTATATATATATGCCTAACAAAATAGGTAGAAGATCTTAAGCAATCCACCTTTTCAAATTTGAAAATTTGTTCCTAAGCAAACATTATCTTGGAAATAGTCTTTTAAGGAATTGGTGCAACCAATACAAATCGAGTTGATTTATCTTTTAAGACTTGGACTCACCTCCCCCGTCACTTTCTAAAAATTATTGCAATAATGCATATATCTTAAGCTGATTGCTTACGCCTAGCTTAATTACGTAATTATCTTGCTAATCAACTTAACCCCAACTAATTACTATACAAAATGAGGAAACATACATGTCGAAGAAAATTTGAAGCCTGGAATCAAAACTTTGATCTGTAATCTGCGACCAAAATTCGTAAAGCTCCTCCTTACTGATTTTGTCCACTTTTAGCCGTCTCCTTCTGCTCAACGCATCGAACAATTCCAACGCGAATTCCTTCGAATCTCTCATTCCTACAACAGAAAATTACAGTTATAACTAAAAATCAAGCATTCATTTGAGCTCAAAAACCCGCAATTAGCAGCACAATTAGCCATCAATTAACAACCTATGCATTGCCCAAAATCAGATCGATAGAGGTAGCCATCTTTGGCGAGTTTCGCAAAGTTCCTCTCGACTTCGCTCCAGCCGTCGACGTGGCTTTTTTTGCCGTCGCTGATGAACTTGAGCCCCCGGAGCGCCTTCTGGGCGCCGGAGCGCGTGCGATCCAGCTGCGCCCGCTGGCGGCGCATCGCCCTTGCCGCCAGCGCCGATTCAATTCCGCCTCCGCCAGCCCCGCCGGAGAGTATGCGCGACGCGCGGCCGTGGCTCCACGATAACTTCCTCATCTCCTGCGAGAACTGCCTCGCGCGGGCAAGCGCCTCCGCCTTGAGCTCCTGCGAGAACTGAATCAGCTTGTTGTTTGACGCGCTTCGCCTCATGGTAGTAGATCTGGAGGTCGACGCCGACGCCGGAGTGGCCTCCACGCCGACGATTCCCGCGGCGGCCTCCCCGCCGATGTTGATGGCGACGGCGGCGGCCGGCTCCACGCTGCGGAGGATGATGGTGTCGTCGTCCTGGAGGTCGAGAGTGACCTCGACGAACTCCGCCGACGGATCCACGGAATATTCCGTTCCCGGCGAGGAGCCGACGCTGGCAGATATCCCGGCGGGAGGCGTGTCGGAGCCCAACCGGCGGTGGTGTTCCCCCGGCCCCCTCATTGGAAATGCGATCTCGTTTTTCGCTCAATTTATTTATTTATTTATTTTCTGTATTCAGCGATCAGCATAAAAGTGTGACGATTTTGAGGAGGACGTGACACGATAGTGGGAGTTGAGACTTGAGAGAAGGTGAATAAACTAAACTACTCTCATCATTTGTTTNAAAATAATACACAAATAAATAATTGAATGTGAGTATAATAAAAGTGAGTGGGAAATTGGAAAATGGCACTGAGGAAACTAACAAAACGCGTCAGGAATCCAAGTAAAACGACATGCAACGCGGAGGTGATGAAAAAAGCAAGACTGGGAAAATGGATTGATATAGAAAAGAGACAAAGTTCTTCTGGCTGAATTTCTGTGTTTGTAGTTGTGAACTGAATGAGAAATTTTTCCTCTGATTTTTTGTGATTTAGATTGAAATTGACAATTTGTGTCAGCTGAAAAGGGCAGCCACAACCCATTGTCTGTGTTTTTATACTCTCCTCTTCGTGTCTGTGTGTGATGCATATAAAAGTAAGTTTGTATTTATATCTATCTATCTATACTATTATAAAATGACGAGTGATTTTGTAAAATAATGATCTGCCTCAAAAACTCTTACTTTTACATATTTTTAATGGCAAATTAGTAATACTGAAATATCCATCTTATTTTATATTTTTAATTAACAAATGAACTACTTAAAAAACTCTTACTTTGACTTATTTTTAATGGCAAATTAGTAATGCATTAATACTCATTATATTTTATATTTTTTATCAATAATTAATATTTAGTTAAATAAATATAGATACACGAACAAAACATTCTAGATCTCCTAAAAATCAACCTCAACATTCTCATACCATTATTCCTCACGATGATGTTTCTTTCACATATCTATCAAAATGCTTCTTTCATATCTCCAAAAAATCAACTCATACAACAAAGCTTTGAAAAGATACATAATTCATATTTTGAAAAATAATTTATTTTTAATATAAAATCGTAGTTACTTTAATTAATAAAAAAAAATTACTACATGAAATTAAGTTTTAAAAAAAAATTATATTGCAATAAAAAATACAACGTCAGACATTTCACTGAAAATCGCAACAAATATTCATTGGTAGAGTGAATATATACATAATTTAACAAACTAAAAAAGTGGATCAATTCATTTAGCTACTTCCTATTAAGAAAAATACACTCTTACATTTAAAAATTGCACCTTTTATTTATTGAATTGAATTTTTATCCCACAAAAAATACACTCAAATAATAATTATTTTTATTATTTAATATTAAGAAATTTAACTCAATTGAAAAATTAATAGGTAATTTTGAGATAAAATAATGAGTGATTTTAAAAAAATATATGGACTAAAAAGTTCATGTGTTAAATATATTTTTAATAAAAAAAATGCAGGTATTCCACTGAAAATTGCATTGAATATTTCATTGGTGTAGAGTTCATTGGAAATTTTCATTGTCTATTTCAATAGAGATCAAATTAAATTACATTGAAATTTTTGTTGATTTAATGATTATAATTACCATTATTTATTATTGTGTGAATTTCAGTTAGAATTTGTTTTCGGACCATATTTCAACTGTTGGAAAAATTGTCAATGGAATTTTAAAAAATTCAATATGAGTTATGGAAAGCTAATTGCAGTGGAGGATACAAAATAATTTCATATTGGGGGCACTATTTAGTTAATATAAAAAGTATACGATCAAAATAACATAATGCACTACAATTTATAAAATATACTTTTCATACTTTGTCATCTTTCTCATCTGTAATACATTTTTAACACATATAGGTTAGAAAATATTAAAAAAAAGCATGATTTTTATTAATTCAATATAAGAAAATCATTGAAAACAATGTACTTTTTAGAATTTTTTTTTGAACAAAAACTTTATGTGGAACAATGTAAAGTAAAAAAAATATTAAATTCCATAAATAATATTAAAAGTGTTATAACTGATTAAAACTTGTATTTATCAATATAAACGAGTTGAGTTGTAAACATTTGTTAATGTTTTGTGATTATTAATTCTATGTGTAAGGTTTAGGTGACAGACAATAGTTATTTGTATTTTTATCCATTTAGGTTGAAACTTATAAAATTAAAAAAAAAAAAATTGATTTTCTAATTTTAAATAACTTTTTTATCTGCTATTAGTTTTTTAAACATAATAAACAAATATCATATTACATGTATACAATAGTAAATATTTTCATTATTTAACATTTAATATGTAAGAAATATAACTCAATTAAGAAATTAATAGGTAATCTTGATATAAAATAATGAGTGGTTTCTAAATTACATGGACTAAAAAACCATGTGTTTAATGTATTTTTAATAGCAAAATTGTAAAGATAATCAATTAATAACAAAAGATACTATATAAAAATTTAATGTTTAAGAATGAATACAATAAAAAAAAAACAACCGTAAGGTATTCCACTGAAAATTTCAACGGATATTTCATTGGTATAACTTTAATTGAAAATTTTCATTGGCTATTCCAACAGAGATAATTTTAAATTACATTAGAATTTGACTGATTTAATTATTCCAATTACAATTATTTATTGTTGAATTTTTCATTGGAATCTTTCTTGAATAATATTTCAACCGTTGGAAAACATAGCCATTGGAATTGTAAAAAACCAAATGAAGTTTCATTGGAAAGCTAATTGCAGTAGCAGATCCAAAATAATTTCTTACAGGGGGCACTATACCATCAAAATAACATAATGCTTTTATAATTTATAAAATTATAATTTTTATAATATGTCATATTTCTCACATGTGATACATTTTTAATACATGAATACAGTCACGACAAGTTAAAATAAATTAAAGAAAAACATAATTTTTCTTCCACATAATAAAGTTATTGAAAATTATATTTTTTAAAATTTTTATGAGCAAAAAATTTATGTTGTGATATAGTTGACTCGACAATATAATTAATAAAATATAACCTATAATTCTACATACATCAGCTAAAAAAGACATGAAAAAAGTTAGAGAAAAAAAATATGTTGCAAAAGAGAGAATAGAAGCTATCATCAAGATTAAAATAATAAAATTAAAAGGGTGAAATTATAATTTCTAGATTTATCTTATTTTCTTTAGTTGTAAAACTGTGTTTATGTTATAACTTTGATAAAGTTATGAGCTGAATTGAAGTAAAATTGATTGAGTCACAAATTAATTCATTATTTATCTTTCTTTCTTTTAATTTTTTTTTTCAGAATAAGGGGTATGATTAAAATTATGAAAAATGTTCCCACAATTTTTATTATATACATTATGCTATATGTTTTGAGAAGTGGCCATGTGTCGACCGTGTTAAAAAAAAATGGATCTGCCCATGATTCCACAAAATATTTTTGTTATAATTTTCATTGAAATAATTCAAATGAAAGGAATAACATTTACATATTCGTTAGAACTGTCGTTGAAATTCGATTGTAATACATTTTTGTCGAAATTGTCGTTGAAATTTCATCATTTTTTTTGTAGCAAAGGTACTTCTCCATTTGCGTTATATATACTATTGTGTGCAATTTTTTTTTCAAGTGTGCAATTAATTATTATGAAAATTGTTGATAATGATTGAATATATAACACATGAATGTAATTATACTTTACTTTATTATAATTAGTACTTTTTTTTTCAAAACAAACAAGATACATCTAGGTTAAATGTTCTTACCTATTTTATTAGTATTATAATAACTAAAAAAGAGTTAAGAATGATGTTCTATGTAATAGAAAATTAAACTTTACAATGCTCAAGCTTATAGTTCGCATTCAATCCAAAAGTAAAAAAAGTGATAAAATTTGTTAATGTCATCCATCAGTTGGAGCTAATTAATGAGAAATATAGAACACATCTAAGAATATGCACATTTATTTGAACTATAACTTTTAAGTACACAATTTTTTTTTCATTCAAAATAGGGATATTAGTATTAGTTTCTTAATTAGTATTTCATTACTATCCAACATTAAATTTTTCACTTTTGAAATACTTAATATTTTTTATTTATTATCCTTTTATATGTAATATATCACACCATTTCTTTCCAATGATGTTTGGTTTGACAGTCTATTGTAAATAAAATAAAAATATTATAATTATTTCTAACGATATAGAATAATATATATATATATATATATATATCAATTTAAAATAATAAATAGACCTAAAAACATCTCATAAAATAGATTATAAATTCATTTTAAATAAATATTATTAAGTATAAAATAACATAAGATAAACGTGTGGTATATTTTTCTTACATAGATTTGAAATATTTATACTACGAAAAAAATAAAAAAATAAATATAAACTTACAACGATTGTCAATTTTAATTATGTGAATTAAAAAGAGAAATAAATGAGTAGTATGCTAAACTATTATTCAATACTTTTTGAAAAGGAACACCATAATCGTTGCAACATATACTTTCAATGAATATAATATGAAAATGAGTTAGTTACATAATGTTTCATCAAACATTGAAAAAAAAAATGTAAACTTTTTAATCTTATAAACAGTATAAAAGTATAATTTTATAAAATATATATTATTATAAATAAATAAATAAGTAATATTAAATTATATTTTATCGTATGTGATTATAGTTGTAGCCTAATAAATATGATACTTTGATAACAACATAATTATATAAAATGCGTAAAAAAATTAAACAATACATATAAATATGCCAAAATTCTTTTAACAAATAAAATATTATTTATGAATACAATAAGAAACAAATAAAACAATAGTAAGAGAATGAGGAAAAAGAAGTCTGATTTTTTTTAGAGAAATATGAATATCAACATCTAGAAACAAAAGTCTTTTCTAATTACTACATTTTTTATTACTGGCGTTTAAATTCTCATAAATATTGATCCTATATTATAAATTTTGATTTTTTAAATAATTAAAAAAATAAAAAACTTTATAATACATAATG